AAATAAATAAAGTCTCTGTAGAGTTAGGTATGAAAAAAAGATGTAAGAAAGTTATAAAATTTTATAAGATAGACACTCCATAGGAGTACTGAAGATTTACATCTTATGAGTGTGTATGTTTGAATATTTATGAGTAGATTAGAGGAAATTAAGAGGGTCTACATAGCTATGGTGCATGGGAGTGGACTAGAGGAGATTGAGAGGGTCCACATAGGTATAATGAATAGGTACATATAGGTATGTATTTATTTATATTCAAAGGGTGTATATGAGTATGTGTTTGTTTGGGTTGAAAATACTCTATAAGACTAAAAGAGATTAAAAAAGTCTATGGGTATTAATTATTGAATGATTGATATGAATTGTATGTTTGTAATTTTTTATAACTAATGGATCTTTTTTTTCATCCATGGACGTAGGTCGGTTGGGTCAAATTACGTTAAATTATTGTCTCTTGTGTGATTGATTAATTATTTGATTTTACTTTCGCTAGTATGATTGGATTAGAGGCTTTTTTATCTAACAAATGATATCAAAACTGTGATGATCGCTAACAAGTGGTATCAAAGTGAGGTTTGAGATTAAGGTTTGTGAGAAGAAGAGGCAAGTCCAAGAGATCATGAAGCAAGTATTTCAAGATGTTTGAAAAAGCTATGTCTAATATGCCTATGCCCAAGTTTGAGATTTTATTATTTGATGAAAAGAGTAATTTTATCTTATAATAAAGTACGATTCAAGATCTGTTAATATAACAAGGGTTAGATCAAGTATTAGAGAATAATGAGCCTAAGGGAATGTTTAACAGTAATTAGAATATAATTCAAAAGAAAACTATTAGTACTATTAGATTAGCATTAACTCCAGAGATAAAGTATAGTATATTAACTGAAAGTATTTCGAAGAGTTTGTGAAATAAGCTTGAGGGTATTTATGCATCAAAGTTGTTGACTAACAAATTATTTTTGAAGATAGATCTATATTCTCTAAAAATGAAAGAAGGTATAAATTTTCATAATCACCTAAATGAGTTTAATAGATTGATTTTTCAATTGCTTGTAGTTTCTATTGACAAGTTAGAAGATGAAAAAAAGGCTTTAATTTTGCTATCATCTTTGCTCAAGTCTTATAGACTTTTAGTTTAGACTTTGTCAGTGGGTAGGTCTATTTTGAAATTAGATGATGTAACTGTTTTATTGCGTGAGAACGAAAAATTTATGAGAACACGAAACTCATCACCTAAGAATACACTAGTTGTAGAGGATTTTTATTGAGTGAGGACTCAAAATAGGGTTGATAGATCAAAAGAGAGATCAAAGTTAAGAGATAGAGATTACAGTGACATAGAATGTTATTATTATGATAAAAAAGGATATATCCAAGTACGTTATAAGAAGTTGAGAAAAGATATAACTATTTTTAAAATGACAAATGATGAAAAGAAATCGGATGAAAAAAATAGTGATACTATTACTATTATGTCTGATGATAATGACGTTGTTTTGACGACTTGTGTGGATGAGACTTAAATTTTGAAAGGTGATAAAAGCTGAGTTTTGGATTCAGTTGTTACAGTCAATGTATACAATGATAGGAGTTGCTTTATGGAGTTGAAAGAAAATAAAAAGTATAGAGATATTATGGTTCCTGACAATGAAAAGGTATAGATTCAAGACATTAAGAGTGTTTATCTTAGATTTCACAATGGTGTTATTAAGACGCTTTGTCATGTTAGGTATGTACCGAGTTATAGTTATAATTTGATTGCTTTAAATGAGTTAGCTTCTTAAGAATACACATATTATGGTAGTAATGATTGGTTGAAAGTGTACAAGAATGATAGTATGATTCTATAAGGGAAATAGGATTAAAAATTACTTATACATGCTTGATGAAGGCTCAATTATTGAGATTCTTGTGACAAAAGAAAAGAAGAAAAGCAAGCGTGTCAACTTTGCAGATACTGTTGAAGTATTTGGAGATTCAAGTTAATAGAAGATTTGTTAGGGTTTGTCTTGAATTTCATAATCTCACATTAAAAGTTAAGTGAAGTTATAAGAGTTTGAATTTGTTTTGTATCCAACATCGAGAGTTTAGTAAAGTTATAAGAGGTTTCACTATAATAAATAAGATGCTTTGATTTTAGTTTGATAATCTCATATAGTTAGACACCAAGAAAATAGCTAAGTGAGTAGGCTATTAATATAATGTAATGGGGTTTTGAGTTAAGTTTTGAATAAGAAGTTTTTGGTGACTTTTCTTATTTTAAAAGTCTCACAGTTGTAAAGATTTATTTGTTAGTGAATTGAGTTTGGAGTAGGTCATTTTGAGTTTAGCAAAAATAAATATATTTGTGTATTTTTTTATTCTTAATTTAAGCTTGCTATTTTATGTGTAGGTTTTGTGTGTTTGTGTTGATTTTTCAATAAGTGAGTTCAGAGCATGGTTCGAGTAATAGGGAGAGGTAAGCTTAAAGAAGCTCGATTCAAAAAAAAAAAGTTTAAGTTTAAGTTTTGAAAATTGAATATCGGTTTACGTAAAGCATAAAGATATACAAGAGAAAATGATTGTAAGATTTTCATTATAGATAGAGCCAAGCATGTCTAGCATAAAGACAGATGATTTGATGGAATTTGAGTCAATATGAGAATTGTTAATAATAGTAACTCAAATCCATAAGTGATTTATTTGGGATTGGTTAGATATTACTTGATAGATAAAAAGACTTGTAGAAGAAGAATTTTAAGAGGAAATGAATTCTTAATAGGGAAGTTTGTATGTTTATAAATAGGTGAAGTTTTTTATAGGATTAGGTATGAGAAAAAGATGTAAGAGAGTTATAAAGTTTTATGGGATAAATACCCTTATAGGAATATTGAGGATTTACGTCTTATGGGTGTGTATGTTTGAATGTTTATGAATGGACTAAAACAAACTGAGAGGATATACATAGGTATGGTGCATGGGAATAGACTAAAAAAGATTGAGAGGGTTCACATAGTAACAATGAATGGGTACATATGAATATGTGTTTGTTTGTGTTGAAAGGGTGCACAGGGTATGTGTTTATTTAGATTAAGAATACTTCATAAGACTAAAGAAGATTCAGAGAATCTATGTGTATTGATTATCGAATGGTTGATACGAGTTATATGTTTATAATTCTCTACAATTAATAAATCTTTTTTTTATTCATGAACGTAGGTCGATTTGATCGAATCACGTTAAATAACTCTCTTGTGTGATTAATTAATTATTTAATTTCACTTTTGTTAATGTGATTGAATTAGAGGCTTTTTTGCCTAACACCCCGTGCATGACTTACTTCTGGATATAACATCATTTCGCTTGTGTATCCCTTCCTCTGATGTAGATGCTGTCCTACCCAAGTTTTCTCCACTAAGCAAGACTTGCAACTAGGATTTCTGTCCTCCGGTCACATTTCTATCCTGTGTTGTCCTTTTCGACTGTTCCCCTTGCTTCCAAGCATAATGGTTCACATTGTGAGTTTGTCTGCTCTCCCATTCTCTTGCCATCCCTCGACCATCATTACCAGTTACCCTTCTCCAAAAGGTAGATCTTGCATTAAACCTTGCCATATTAACCCCAATCTTGTAATCTTTAATCCACAAGCCATTCAAACCGTACACCGCATTCCCTGCCTCTGAATAATTTTCAAATCGTATGAAACCGTATATCCTGCCTCTTGCATTCCTTTATTGTGGAATGACAACATCCACGACCTCACCATACTCCTGAAAACCTCTGAGACAACCATCTCCAATGTGTTTTTGGAGGGATATTGTTTACAAACACTGTGAACACCGCCATTTTTCGGTCTTTTATCTGCTTTTAAAGATTGTATTCAACTATACTGGATTTCCTTTGATGCATACATTAATGGAATGAGAAAGGCGTTTTGTTAAAAATATTGGGTTTTTAGAGCACATGTCTTTATGGTGGTTGCAGCATTAAGAATCAGGAATACCACCTAGCTCTGGCGGAAGGCTGAAGCACCTCAGCATCAATGTAGCAAATTAAGTATAGATGTGTATAAATTTGTATAGTTATTATGTGTATATAAATAATTTTTTAAACCCATCACATGCATTTGGCAATCTTTTATAGATTTCTTTCAGAAAGTATTAGATTTCTTCCTCTGTTATTTTTCTGTGAGATATTATGATCACGCCTTGGTCTTACTATATGTGGAGAGATGTGTTGCTTTAATTATGCAGGCACAACTTTTACCCTATGTTGTGTCAAAGGGTTATGGGAGCCATTTGAAGAGGAGAAAACACCGTTTCTTTCATGGCCTGAACAAGTTTTCATGAAGACATTCAATCATGTTGCCGATCTCATGGCACAGTGTTGATATTTCTCGGCTAGACAAACATGCTAGCTAGTGTTCCAGTTATCTAAGTCATTCAAAAAATTCCAAGTCGTTTTCCTGAAAAGCTTAGGTGATTTGTTGACAAATTTTAGCTTGCAGATAAACAGACTAACATAAATGATTTAAAAAGTGAAGGTTAATAATATACATGATGCTTGATAGTGTTTGATCCCAAAATTTCATCCAGTTGGTTGCAATTAATTGCCGTAAAATCCTTTGCCGTCTTGGTTTCACAGAATTTCTATTGGGTCTCCATGGGCCTCCCAATTTGGTCTGGGAAAAGAAACGACGGGGAAGTAATGTAGTCGACAACCATTTTTTATTTTCCTTCTCTTAACCAACAAACATATAACTTTGAGCCATGTATTGTCCAATGAGTTTTGTTTTGGGCTTTTTTCTTCTCTCATGTGCATTAATAAGAGACCCATGCATTGCTAAAGTTGAAACCATTTTCAGACCTCACTTTGACTGGGCTCCTTCATGGACTTCATTTAATTCCTGAAAGGGCTTTATTGGGCCTCAGGAATCCTAACCACACAAGATCATGTGGTTTTGTCCCACTTCATTTAATTATGTAATCTTGACCATACAAAATTACATTTTCAAGTCATTCCATTAAAAGATAGAGATAACGACAGATCTAGCATAAAATAAAGGAATTAACCCTTAATCTGTTATGCTTTGGCTTCTAGACACGCATATAGCTTCCAGGGGCTGTAAATGAATTATTTCATAGTAAAGAAATATCATTAGAGGCATATCAATAAGAAGCTGAAAATTTTCTACTTGGTAAGAAATCCAAAATGGCAGTTCAACTTATTATCTACATAGGTTTAGAAGTCGCAAAGATCTGCAATGGGTTCTTTGTATAATGCTGATTTCCTTCCTATTAAGGTCTAGTAGTCAGGTCTCTCAGCTTCCACAGCCTGCCTGAGTTTCAGTCGCTCTTTGTACTCTTTCAATTCTCTCCTGTATCTTTCCTTGTCTTTCAAACCAATGTTCTGGTACACCTACAGAGAAATCGATTATAATCATCATACAGAACAATTCATGCTCCTATTAGCAAACATATTGGCATTATCTACTTCTACTTTGGCTTTTCTTAATGCCCTGTTTGCAAAAGAAAGCATCACATAGTGTTTTTTTTTTTTTTTGCTCTAAAAATTCAACAGTTTTGCCAAATTTTAAACACTAAAAGAGTCAGACAAATTGGAAATGTATAGATTTGTGATGAAAGACATGACAGCGAAAAAGATTTGGAAGGTACAAATAAAAATGATGCAACAATGTTAAACCTGATAAAAAAATGCTCAAAATCACGGAATGCAGGAGGAAAGAGATTCTCTCATTTGCGTGCAATCTGCAAAAATGTAAATTATGCCAGGAACAGAATGTAGGAAACCAAATAAGCTCTCTTTATCTTTTTGTCATTACCATCCTCTCTTCTGGGCTGAGACTGTTCCAAGACTCTCCAATCATTTTTGTGAACTCCCTCTCTCTATTTGGATAGAGGGATTTGAGTTTGTAATGCTTTTCAGCAAAGAAAAAGTTGTAACCACTTCTGTTGGGTTTTGGATAGCTGGGGTCTCCAGCCCTTTTGCTTCTCCTCCTCCTCCCAGAATGGCGGGGGGTACGAACCCGTTTGTATGGGACAAGGGCATTGTTATATTCAAGTGTGGAGGCAGAAGAGCCTCGCTGCTCTGGATGGTAAAGTACTCCACTAAGAACCTCTGAACCCAACCTCACAGATATCAAATAACCACAATCAAACTTCCCATCAATCGTTCCAAGAACCGAAAAACATGATGTTCCTACAAAGAGAATCATACAAGGTAAGGCTATCCAATCAATTGCAATCTCAGAGAAGCGTAAATCAACATCCTAGCAGTGTGAAGTTCATATATATTTGGACAGCATTTCAAATACAAAATTTTCGGTTGAAAGATATTAATTTCCTATATCAGACAAAGAAATTCATACATACTAGTATTGATTAAGAATTTGAACAAAATGTAGTTCTATACTATCTATTTAAACATTGTTAAAAGTCATTGTTTCATTTTACTTCCAGAAGCAGTTAGTTGCAGATTCGAACATGAAGTGCCTTCTGAAACCAAATGTTTGCTAGCCTGCTAGGTATGTGGTAGAATGCAATCGAAAACATTGCAGTGAACCACAGATAGAGACAGCAAAACTACATATTTGTTTAGGAAGAGATATCATACAAATATCATAAGGACCATAACCACATACCAGAAATATATGGATAAATTTAGTGGGACCCCATATGAAAAGGAAATTGAGAAATCAGTAAACTATCAACAAACACATAAAATATCAAGACCATACCAATAAAATAGCTAACCTACAACTCGTAGTAATTCCTATGTTATGACAATGGATTTATTTGACAAACTCACAAATCAAACAGAAAATTTTGGAACATAGAAATTAAATCTGAGCATTTTGGATTGTGTGGATGACACTAACTTTATCCTCTTGTATCTTTCCCTATTGAAATAATAAAATGGAGAAATAAGGAAAAAAAAAAAAACCTACCTTCAATAAGTGGATCTGGGAATTCTCTTATCGGTTTAGGGGAATATTCCACGAGAGCTAGTTCAGGTCTGCATGAAGGGTCGTTAACAGGAAATGTAACTGCATAGAAATAAAAATTACAAGAGTATTAGACCCGTACACGAGTCGCATAATGCCAGAAGGAGCAAACAGAGCTCAGATCAAGTAACAGTGTTATGCTACAGCAGAAAGGGAAAACGGTGAAAAACCAATGCAAGAAAAAAAGCATATATGCCTAAAAGATCAACAACCTCTTGGAGTATGTAGAGGACCCTTCATCTTAAAGAAATGAACCTGCTCGTAATGGTAAAGAAGACTGAAGTAGTGTTTCCTAAGCACGAAAGATGCGCTTGTTGTCGTTGGTGAAAACCTGAAAACACTACCCACTTCCCTCCATTTCTTCTCTGCAACTACCTACAAGTACGCCGTCGCAATCAAAGATTGTAAAAAGTTTTATGCTTTACGACATGGGTATTTTGAGGAAAATCGAAGGAAAAGATATAGTAATAAAAAAAAGCTAACCTTTTCATAACCACCCCTTTTGGTAGCTTCTACATACAGAACATGCAAATCCAACTCTTTCCCTCCAATCACAGGAATCCTTTAAAATACAAAGACGGAAAATACAGAAGCACAACCGTCAAAGAAAAAGTAAAACTACAAAGGAACATGAAAAATATCACCTTTTTTGAGAGAAGAAAAAGGAGCCATCCTTGTATTTTGTAAGTTCAAAACAAGACGCATCGCATTCTCAAAAATCCAATACATAATCAGCATTGTAGCTCCTTTGAAAAGAACAAACAGAAGAAGAAAGAGAGAAAGAAGGGATTTACATAAACTTGGTGCCCATTACAAAATGAAAGCGCCTAAGAGTATCCCAGAAAACAATAGGGTCCCCAACAACTTCCTCATGAGAGGCAAGAGGGTCGGGGTATTCTTTCTTCTCAACATCCCCGTTCCGACCCTTAGCTTTTCCGGAAGACGACGTTGCTTTGCTGGCCACTTCCATTGAGGGTGGTCGCCCGAGAAACTAGTTAGAAAAAACTAAGAGGAAATAATGCTAATACTAATGTAGAGAGATAACAATGAGAAAAAGAGAAGAAGAGAGGACTTAGAAGATAAGATTGTAATTAAGGGGCTGAAAGCTGAAATTAAAGGAACGGGGTTGGATGCGTGAGCAAGTAACGGTTATGCAAAATTGGCTTTTTCTGGCATTTTGAATGGCCAACCACTGAGCAAAGTCCTAATGCTTATTTATTTACACTGGCTATGTTCATTATTATACACTACCTGCCCCTCTCTCTTTTTCTCTCGTGTCATTCGAAGCCTGACATCTCTGCAGCCGAAAGGGCTTTGATTTGCTCTCCTTTTGCTTTTTCCAAACGTTGACATGCACTTGCGCTTCTTGTTCTGATGATTTTCTGAACATATCTTAGCGCACATCTATTGAAAGATACCAGTATAGTGGTCTTTTTTAGGTTACAGTATAGTAGTTCAGAGTACGCTATAGATGGGTTCAAAACGTATCTCCATCGTAGATATGTGAGAAATCCCAATCTCAAAAGCTACAACTTTCATTATTTCCTGATATTTGGGCAAATGCTTTACACCAGTAGTGGTGCCGCTGAATGTTGGCACATGTCTCAGCCTTCCATATATAAGCTTAACTGCGTGGTGAGAATCGCTGTCAAAAATCGAAAGAGAGGAAGTAAGTATTCATCTATATCGTAATCATAATCATAAATATGTATCACGATTCCAGTAACATAGGGAACAGAGCATGTGGAGATCCTGTGGACTATTGCACTGCATCATTGGAATGCGAAAAGGGCAATTTCAATTGTCACTCCCTCCAACATTCTAAGCCCAAGCATAGGCCCCTTACGTATTGTCTAGGGCCATCAAAGCCCTAATTAATCAGAAGCTATTTGACACTCCTAACCATTCATCACATTCATTTTAATTACGTTCTTATACTAGCAATTGTAGGGCTTTACCCCAAAGGGCGCCCTTCCAGAAATTCTCGAAGGCCAGAGACAAGCCCAGGCCTACGAGGGGGTTTGGAAATAGTTTTCAACCAGCAATAGACGCGCCTCAGTTAGAACCTCACGAGCTGCGTCATTGCCCCAAGCGCAAAGATGCGGGTGTCTTCTTCACCTTTGTTCTTTTATAAAGGTTAGGAACCGTCAACTACCTTTTTCTTCCTGATGTGGGATTTCATAACTTTCCTGAACTCTTTTCCGCTCTCCTGTGACACTGAATCTTGGGACAAAGAAACATGTCTTAACTTGATGCTTATTTGAAGTTGAGAAATGGGAGATGAGAAAAGTTCCTTCTTGTTCAGTACTCTCTTTCTTCAACTTTAACACCAACTGTATACAACAAAAATCTTTCTTTCTCGGCCAAAAAGGTCTTTGCGATGTCATTCCTTCAAAATCTTCCCTTCAACTTCACTCTCATGTAAATTTAGACTCACTTGTCTCAACACTAATTGTTGCTTTAAACTCTTGCTCTCGTGTCTCCTACTGTCAGGCTTTTCATGCTCGCGTTATCAAATCTGTGAATTACCGTCACGGATTCGTTGGTGATCAGTTGGTTACAAATTACGCTAAATTAGGATATCCAGATGATGCACAAACTTTGTTTGATGAAATGCCTAATAAAGATTTGGTATCCTGGAATTCTTTAATTTCAGGATTATCAAGAAGTGGGTTTACAGCTAGATGCCTGAGTGCGTTTTGTAGAATGAGATTTGAAATTGATATGCAACCAAATTATGTCACTTTTTTATCTATAATCTCCGCTTGCAGTGATAAGGGGGCTCTAAGTGAAGGCAAGTGCATTCATGGCTTCGCAATCAAATTGGGTGTGCTAAATGAAGTGAAAATTATGAATGCCCTCATAAACATGTATGGAAAGTCTGGATATTTACATGAAGCTTGTTGGTTATTTGAGGCAATGCCATTGCAGAATTTGGTGTCTTGGAATTCAATGATTGCAATTTACACTCAAAATGGGCTTGCTGAGGAAAGTATGGGAATTTTCATTATGACGAGAAGGGCTTTAGTTGAGTTTGATCAAGCTACTATGTTGACTGTTCTGCAGGCTTGTGAAAACTTAGGCGTGAGAAATTTAGCTGGGAGTATTCATGGTTTAATCTTAAGGTTTGGTTTAATTGCTAATGTGGCCATTGCAACTGCACTTTTAGATCTTTATGCGAAGCTAGGGTGTTTACATTCTTCAAGTAAGGTTTTTGGAGAGATTATTTATCTGGATAGAGTGGCTTGGACTGCCATGCTTGCAGGCTATGCTATGCATGGCTATGGAAAAGATGCAATAAAGCTCTTTGAAGTCATGGTGAAAAAAGGTATACAGCCTGATCATGTTACCTTCACTCACTTGTTAAGTGCTTGTAGTCATTCGGGACTTGTCAAAGAAGGGAAGCATTATTTCAAGTTGATGTCTGAAGTTTATGGGGTGGAGCATAAGTTGGACCATTATTCATGCATGGTTGATCTTCTTGGCCGCTCAGGACTTCTCAGTGATGCTTATGACCTGATTAAGCGCATGCCAATGGAGCCAAATACTGGTGTCTGGGGTGCTCTTCTTGGTGCTTGCAGAGTCTATGTTAACACTGAACTTGGAAAGGAAGCTGCCGAAAGATTAGTTTCCCTAGATCCATCAGACATCAGAAACTACATCATGCTCTCAAATATATATTCTGCAGCTGGACTATGGAGGGAGGCTTCAAAAGTGAGGGCGTTAATTAAAGAGAGAAGTCTCAACAGAAAACCTGGATGTAGTTTTGTTGAGCATGGAAATAAAATCCATCGCTTTGTAGTGGGTGATAGATCTCACCCTGAGGCAGATAGGATATATCATAAGTTGGAAGAATTAATTGGAAAGATAAGGAAAGCTGGTTTCATGTCTAAAACAGAATTTGTTCTACATGATGTTGATGAGGAGGTTAAAGAGAATATGATCAATGAACATAGCGAGAAGTTAGCCATGGCATTTGGGCTTCTGGTGACTGATGTTGCACAGCCACTAATTATAACCAAAAACCTTAGAATATGCGGTGATTGTCATAGTACAGCAAAGGTTGCATCACTGATTGAGAAGCGTACCATCATAATTCGAGATCCAAAGCGGTTTCATCACTTTTCTGGTGGAATATGTTCCTGTGGAGATTACTGGTAAGCCCTCTGCAGTAAACAACTTGCTGTGACATTGGAAACAGTGGACTTATGTGTAAGAATTCTTTCATTCAGTCTTGTTTTTACATGACTAATTTGTAATTTGATATAATCAACTAGATGTAATTGTAGTTGATGCATTAAAGACATGATTTTGTGACAGAACCATACATCTTTTGCACTAGATGAGCTTCTGAATGTCAAATAAACCACCACCAAATATTTAGAGCGCTTTGTTAGGCTTAGATGGATTGAATGATATCGACTCCTGAGAAGCAGAAATCCTTTGAGTAGTGGGACATGCTGATGCATTCATAATTTTGGTTTAGGGGGGGGAGGCTATCAACCGACCAGATATCATTCTATTAAATTTATTCTTTTCTAACAGTTACTTGGGTCGTGGTGTTTATTAACCTATGCAAAGTACAAAGAGGAGCAAATATGCAGCAGCTCTATGCGACATTGCAAGTACAATGGAATACTTCGAACATTCTTCAAATTATGAATATATTTATATATTTTGCTTGATAAGAGGTGGAGACAAGTCCAAATTTTCTTCAGATTTTTAAGTAGACAAGCAATACCCAAGATCTTATTGCTCCAAATAAACGAGCCTTCCCTTCTTGTTTATCCTACCTTCTGCAAGCTATACCTTTCCCTCCGGATCCACCTCCACATTCAAAGCTCAATGGTTCTCCGCCCCCAAGCGTCTTCTCCTTCAAACCAAAGTTGGAAACCACGCAATCCGTGGCAAAGAGATGTGAAGTGGCAAACTTATGTGCCCCTCCCATGATCGGCATGGCAGCTGACAATTTTACTCTGCTTTGGTAGTTTGGCTTGTATGTCTGTCCCAAAACCCCATTAACCATTGTGCTCAGAGAATCAAACTTGAAATTCAACTCCAAATGCGCAAAACAATCATCCTCCGTCACATTGTATCCATGCACCCTTGATTCTTCTAAAGTGATGGGAACCACGCGCACCACTATTTCAAGCAACCCTTCGACTCTGAGCCTCACCTTATTGGTCTCTGCTTGCCTTTGTATAGTTAATCCAGCTTCTGATGACTGCCATGTTTGGCCTTCACCCACTAGCAGCGGGACATCTTTTCCGTCTAATTTGATCCGCATGTGTTCAACTGATTCCCTCCACTTGGCAACCCTTTCTGCTCCAATATAGAGCCGATGAGAGCCGAACAAGATACCAATGGATTGGACCCAGGTGAAGTCTCTTCCCTTTTGACCCTTCTTGCCAATAAAATGAGCATTGATATGAACGTTGAAATCAGAGACCAAGCAAAATTCCTTGTCTTTCCCGCCATGAAAGTAAAACATGATGCCATCCCCTCCAATGAAACGTGGGTCCTGACAAACAGCTCCTGGCTTATCACAAGCTATTACATGCAACCGAAAAAAAAAAATTTATGTCACACTTTTTTAATGCATATATTTTCAACAAAGAAAATAGGTGAGAGGCTCAGATTAAAGAAAATAAGCTTACCACAGTAAGGCTTGCAGATCCTGCAATCAACCTCACATTGTCCAGGACAACCAGGGGGACAGTTGTGAAGGATGCCAAAGCAGTTCCCAAATAGTGGGTCGTGGCAAGCAGCTTTTCTGGCACCTACTTGTATCGGTATGGTGCTGAAGCAGAATATCCCAAAGAGAATTAATGCAACTTTCAAGTTCATTTTTAGTCCCGTCTTGTTGTTGTTGTTGTTCTTCTTCCTCTTCTCTACTGTTGCCGCAAGTAGAAATGATTGAAATTATAAAACGTGATGGAGCTTTGATGCATGAATTGTTTTTAATTGTTATACAACCACTGTGAAGAAAGACAAGAAGGTTATGTGTTTGCTTGCGTAAAACTAGTAAAACTATTAGCAAGTCAACTTCCTTCCAGGCAATGAAGACTACATTAATGGATCCAAGTAGCCATGGAATCTCAAAGTTGGTAACTCGCAGAAACATTAAAAATTGAGGACTAACTCTTCTCTCACGAGTCACTATTATACCATGAAAAATAATTGAGACTTGAAGCTTCGAAGTTGGAAGAGAAAAGAGATATAATATATAATAATGATTTTGTGATGTCTACCTGCAAACGAACAACAAGGCATAATCAAACTATAAATGCTAAATTATTCGCGATTTTGATATGAATAAAACTACTTGGATGAAGTTTTGCTCGACTAGCTCAACTTAGAATCTGCGACGCCTCGTAGTCACACGAGTCAACCCAAAAGCAGACAGGCAAGCCTCTTATCGTTTATGTTTCTATTATACTTGGCCCATCAATCCTTGATTCGTTGTCGGCTATGACAGTAACACAAAAAAGAGAAAAACCAAAAAAAAAAAGCCTACAAAGGAACAAAGGGGCTGCACTTTATGGTTGGGCAACAGGCTGTTTCTGTTGCGCAAATACCCAACAATTTGTGAACCTGAGAAAGAAGGCCCAACAAATTAGGTTGAGTTTAAATGAGCTTGAATTGCTGGTTGATGCCATGTCTGATGAGCAATAGTTTTGAGTTTTGAGCTTCAGCATCCCCTGAATCTCTCCCCCGCCTGGTTTCCTTATCCAATTTCTTGCATTTTCATATCCCAAAAAAACCAAAGAAAAGAAAAGGAATAAAGATCTTGATTCTCGCTGGATAGACCCGGAGTTGACCGACCACCAAAAGCACAACTTAGGAATGATGTTAAATGTTAATAAAAGAAAACTGTACTCTGTAGCCTATTTCTCAAAGAGATTGCCTCGAAAGGAGAATAATTTGACTCACTTTTTCGGTTCCCAATGTATGCTTACATTGGCCCAATTTCTGGTTACTTGCATTATTAAAGAAAAAAGTCCCACTTTTCTGGTTGATTGAATCTTTAGGTAGCTCCTAGTTTTAGTGAGAGCCCGTTGTTTATGACTATTCACTAGCAAAGTCCTGTTAATTGGTACCCAAACAATTACATTAGTACATATGGATTTATACAAAATTTTGTTGTCTGCTAATGGGTATTTCACCCATCCTTCCATTCAACACCGAAATCTCATTTGCCTTACAGTGAAAAAGTTCATGAACTAAATGACATTGTGATTTCTTTATTATGAAAATGATGAAACCAATGTAGCATTTTAGTTCAGAATCTGCCTCCATGCCTCAAAAGACAAAAAGAAATATTCATATTTTGCCTCGACAAGTTACTGAAGCAACAAAAGCTCTACACGTTCTTACCAGTTATGATTGATACAAGAAATTACACCACAATTTCATTAAAAAAAAATCATAACCTTTTTTGGGATAAACATAGTCTTAATAATTTATCTTATAAGAAATTGATGAAAAGGAGTTTAAATTATAAGAAATAAACAATAATTTATAGGAAAGTGTGACGTTGAGATAATTATTAGTATATTGTTATCCTTTTCTTCATAAATATTTTGTTTTTAGGCATATTATTGTTATTAAATTGTGGGGTAGGGCCTATCCTTCTCTTATTCCATCACCACTTACGTTAACTTCCAACAGCTTTGGCCCACTTAAAACAGTAGTCTGATAGGCCTCTGTTTCCTTCTGGCCCACTAGTTTTTCACTGAAAAAACATTCAGATCAATGACTCTCTATTAGCTTTGAAAATCCTTTGATTTGAATAACATGTAAATCTGATCAATATCACAGCAGCTTTCTTCCTTAAATAATTGGTCATGGGACATCTTGGCCTTTACTGTGTTATCACAACTATTGTTTCCTTTTCAAAAAATTTTTGAATTTTTAAGCTCAAGCCAATTAGACCCTAAACCTGGATTTAATTTGTTTATGATCAATTGGATTATCCTCAAACATTGTTTAATTATTTACTATTTGTTAAAATAATCTTTGATTTGGACGTCCCAGCACATGAACGTTCGTTCACCAATTGGGTGAATGTCAAGGGACATGAATGGAATAAGAGTTGAATAGATAATTTATACAGTAATTTCTTCGATTTTGTTCCCCTTTATTATCATTATTATGGGGTTTGATTGATTGATTATGTGTTTCATAAAAGCAGATTAATTGCTCAATTTGAAGCCGAAATCAAGTCATAAAGCAACGTTAAATTGAACAAGCTCTGGGAAGCTCTTGATAAGACCAAAGGAACCCAAACGTGTCAGTGACTCCGATCGAACTGCACCGAGTTAAGACAAACTCACTTGTTGTATCCTAAACGGAAGATGCTTCAGAATATACCGTTTTGAACCCAATCCTCGACTTGAAAGCCCCGTACGGATTAAGTCTCCCCCACCTCCATTTCCTTTATAAACCTCTTCTCCTCCGTTTTCTCCCCTGCAAGCAATTTAAAATCTCTTTTTTGATAAAGATTCCCTCTCAAAACAAACACATCTCCAACTGGATAAAACCTTTGTAAAAGTCAAACAATCATGAGTTCTTCTTCTTCATCTTGTACCCTCTCTGAATCAGATCAAGAACATGTCTTTGAGAAGCTCGAGGTCTTCAAGGTTAAAGGCAGAGACAAACGCGGCCGTAAGGTTCTTCTCATCATCGGCAAGCACTTTCCTGGTGAAAACCTTATTTGCATGTTATCTTTTTTTTTTTCTTTCTTTCTTTTGGTTTAATTATTTGATTAAATCTAATTGATTTTTTCAATGGTAACAGCTCGGATGGTTAGCAATGAGGTTCTGAAGAAGTACTTGGAGGAGAAGATTTACCCCAAATTAGGGTCAAAGCCGTTCTCGGTGGTGTATGTGCACACCGATGTTCAAAGGAGTGAAAATTTCCCTGGAATCTCAGCCCTTCGATCAATCTATGATGCTATTCCGATCAACGTCAAGGACAATCTCGAGGCTGTTTATTTCTTGCATCCTGGTTTACAGGCCAGACTGTTCCTTGCCACCTTCGGCCGTCTGCTTTTCAATGGAGGGTGAGTGAGGATCTATTTCGATTATTAAAATTTAAAATCAAACAAAAAGCATATAAAGTCATACTGACACAGCCTCTGGCCTATTCAGCCATTGATAGATGATAACGATACTGACAAAAAGATAATCACGCCTTTTGACTTTATAAATGCTCATCGCGACATCCACTTTTGAGTTGAAGGTTCCATTTTTTTGAGTTATGGGCAGGGCAGGGTAATGAATGATTGAACTGAATGGGTGCTGGTTGGCTAACGCAGGTTGTACTCGAAGCTTATATACGTGAGCAGGCTGGAGTTTCTGTGGGACCATGTGAGGAGGATGGAGATGGAAATACCAGAATTCGTGCATGATCATGATGAGGAGCTGGAGTACCGTCCTATGATGGACTATGGATTAGAGAGCGACCACCCAAGATTTTACACTGCGCCGTTAGTGGATCCCATTCAGATGTACTCTATGAGGTGCATAGCTTAAGCTTAGTGGCTGTGGAATGTGGATAGTGGAAGTGGAACTGTAGTAGATTGTAGATTGTAGGTGAGTTATGAGGGCAAAGGTCGCTTGCTTTTGATAAAGGAGCGTTTAGTAGTTTTGTTCATATTGTACAAAGGGAAAGTTTGAAATGGAACCTTTCGGACTTATTGGGTGAACCACAATCTATTATTGATTGGGCCACTGAGTGTAAGCTTAAATTAAAGCCTATAACATATTAACCCCAGCTCAAGAGCCCAAAAAATTGGTCAACGGGCTTTGGCTGAGGTCTAACACTTTACCCCACCACGAGCTGTTGTTTGCAAGTAAACTGAAGGAGGAATTTTATTTTGCTAGAGAAAGATAAAGTGAGAAAAAGGAGCCCAACATGGCCAAAGGTATAAGAATCAAGGAGTTAAAGCGGAAAAAGATGGAAGAGAAGAGTGGTTTGGATTGCACCAGTTGACCGTTAATCTATCACGCAATATGGCTGTTTGAAACCCTCTATATTCGAACAATTTAGCGGAAAAAAAAATCAATTCATACCATTATCCAAGTAATAGCAATCTACCAGGTATCTAGTATGATATCGACCAAATTTCCGATTTAATTTTCATTTGAAAGCATTAAGAATGAAGAGAGTTCATTTATAAGTGTCAGTCAGGGTACATTCCTCCAGACACTGTCGCCGTAGGTGGGCCTTCATTCTTAGCAATGCTAAACAATTCAGGACTAATGTCGATCAAATTATGGGGCTTGCTTGGATATAACTTGGCCTTTATACCCCAAAACCAGTGCATGCTGTCCCCAGCCTGATCCTCATGGCGTTACACTGGACACACATTCTTATCCACACATACCTCGCAAGAGTGACAATTTCCATATCCTGTCTTGTCGTCATTATTCTCGCTGTCATTTCTTCGAGGGAGATGGAGGAGAAAGAACTTAAAAATTACAAAAAACCCTTGATATTGTTACTGCACAACTTTAGAGGAAGAGCACAAACCACGCTCCAGATGAGTTCAGAAAAAGTTTCAAGAACCTGAATCTGATACATAAGCTCCCCTTCACCTTTATTTTTCCGGTACATTCCTCCACCTAAAATATCCTTGCTGATGGGAACTTAAATTTTCACAATTCCTATAATCCTATTCATAGCATATTTCTTTATCTATATATATTGACAAGGACTTCTAAATGTACTTCAAATGGATAATATCCTATCCCTGTGAGACATCATTTCTAAATAAAGGCCTATAATTATAAGGATATAAAGAGTGTCTCTTAAAACTAGCAAGAGCCGAGAGGTTGTAATTTGTAACGGCAGCACCCTATACGCTAAAATGCTAATCGAAAGCACCAACAGCACTCTTTGTCTTGCACTCTTGCCTTGACCCATTCATTTTCCAAAAACAACCATCTACATATTACCATGTCTGACATTTCACATCCTATCGAAAGCTTTATATATTATCACAACTAGTCCTGCATTAGTAAATGCTATAGTCCATGAATATCAAAGAAGTCCATTTCAGATAAATTACAATATCATTACAATCTATAACGTCTCACTGGGGCAATTGTTTGCTGAGATTTATACCTATACGAACATCTTAAACAGAAAGATGAAACAGCATATACAGACAGAGGACATTCAACGGAAGACACCATTTTCATTCAAAATTGTAGATGCCAAAGATAGCTACAGATTTTTACATCTAAACAAATCAAAGGAAACACTTACAGCTACATTCAAGCATTCATATTAGCATGGACTAGGTGCAACCCCAAGTGGTGTAGGCCAACGCAATCGGAAGAAAGATTATAGTTGATAACTGTTCGGTGTTTAAGGCTGTTTTCAGTTGTTTTCTGTTTAGTGAGACTGTGAGAGTACAGACTAGTCAACAATTTGCTTGTAGAAATGGATGATCATACCCGTTGGTCAACAACCATAGTTGCTGGGGATCTTATAACCAATGCTTGAGTGCCAGGTCATCATAAAAAGGTGAATTTTACATGTACCAGATCAAAAGCCTGCACCAAACACACCCTCTGATTTTCCAACGGGCCATGGCTACTGCAAGAAGCAGCATTCATGCTTACCTAACAATTTTATCTTTGCAGAAACAAAGGAGGACCTGATTTGCAGGTTAATTAAAGGCGAGATCCTATATTTCCATGAAGACATTAAGAGTGGCTGCCTTTCTACACTCGTGTAGTTCTTCAAAGACTATAATCTGGCATCGTGCCATTTGCAGAATTAATTTAGACTCTTTTATTGAGGACAAAATTTTAACACCAACATGGTTCAACTGAGAGCAGCAATGCAAAGCATCAAGATCAAGCCACAAAAACCTTTCCTACAAGTGTTAGTAAAAGTTCAACCACAGCAACGGAGGTGACCAAATAAATGCACTTTGGGCTATCCCACGAAGGCTCGACATTTCCCATTCTTGACTAGAATAGCCCAGCCAATCTATGGACCTGGCCCATATAACCTTTTCTCTGTTCCCTTTTATTCTAGACCATTCTAGACCATTGGCAAGAAGGAGCTTCCAGGACTTGATCGACTAGCTAAACTTTCTTGAAATTATAATGTCATGTACATTATATACAGTAGAGAGGCTGAAAGTAGTAGAAATTGATTATAACAAGCAAGGAGAAAGACCATGAAGTGGAAGAAATTAATGCAAGCTGGAGAAAAACGCAGACAAAATAGAATATGCTGCTTATTAGCAAGGAATTATGCAGCAAAACCTCCTTCTAGTTGACTCGCAAGTGCTTTATCTTTTTGAATATGGGCTGACTACAAGTAACGTTGAAACATGAAAAGGAGCTCCGGACAAGTTTTCAACGGCACAACAGTAGTAAAAAAGTATAGCTATCAGAAGAAGACATAAAAGTAATCATAAATTCTAGTAAAAGAGAAAAAAATAGTATGGAAGTTAGGTCCCATAGAAAATGAGAAAGTGAGAAATGTATTATGTCAGACAAATTGAAGCACAGTTCACATTAGTCAGCAGAAAGCACCAGCAAATGGCAAGGAAACCCTGTATATATGTTTGACTAATAGGACCAATCAAAGTAAGTTATCATCTATCAATTAATCACAATTCTAGATATATGATGTCTGCTTCAAAGTACAAAGAAGCAACTGTTTTAAGAAACTGATGAAAGGATGACGAGTCAAGTAATTATAACTGTTCAATGCTTGTACCAGTAATCTGATTTCAAGTTTCATTTTCGTCAAATCCTGGGCTGTTGTGTGCATCTTGTGAATGGGCTCCAAGCCTCCAACAGCTACGGAAGCCTAGATTGAAAATAATGGAGAAACGTTGTATGCACATATCTGCAGAGTGACAGGTGATTTGGAGTCTTTTGACCAATCTACCAGGCAGAGGCAGCTTAGTAAATAGCAAGTGAAATACAGGAAAGAATCACATGGCAGCAGAGCTGGAAAGAGACTCGCTTCCGTCACAATCATAACCATCGTCTTCCGCACCATGATTCATGTTCTGAAACTCAATAAAAAAACTCCAACAGCCCCATATCCCTCTTCCTATAACACAACCAAAAAACATGACATCCTTTCGCAATATTTTATGGGATGCCTAACACCCAAAACAACAAATCACTATGTATCTTTCCTCTCTCTCTCACGTGACATGCACTGCGTCAAAATCTGTTTACTACTAGTAAAGAAGGAGAGAAAGAGAGAGAGAAACCTTTCTTTCCCCATTCCGATCTCAATCATCACCTTCTTTAGCTTTATCCAATGTTTTCTTCAAACTAACCATCCCTTGTGTGGATAAACCTTCTACCAAATGTCAGAAGATCATAAGGGTGAGACTATTTAGGAATTCATCTGGATTAAGGACTACTAACTTTGCCTGCAGACTGCAGTTTTGCCTATATATACATGCATGCATATATGTAGTGTAAAGATTCTCGTGACTTACCATTATAAACAAAAACTACAGCAACATTCTAATGATATACAAAAAAAAAAAAAAAATCCAGAAGCTAATTAATTTGATCATACAATATATATAATCAATATTCACATTACTAACAGAAAGTTCGAACATTAAAGTGTTCTCTTTTCTTATCAGTGGCATTAACATCTTTGTATTATATAAAATTGGAACAATTAATGCTGAAAACTTAATAATTATTAAATTTTTTATTTAAATTATGAGTTATTTTCAAATTTTATACAAGAAAAAGTTATTTCGTTGGATTATGAACACTAAATATAAGTAATTAATATTGAAAAATTAACAAATGTTAAGAATTTTCTCGGCAAAATTAAAGTTCAAAGATAGATAAAATTTTCAAAGAAAAAAGAAGAAAGACCACAGGCCAAATTAAAGTTGAAAGATAGACTGGCAGTGATTCTGTTCGTCTGAGTAGCATCAACAGGCAACAAGTATGGTTGGGAATGCTTTATTATTATTGTAGTATAAAGTAGGAAAATGAAATGGTGAGACTGGAAGCAGATCCATTCGAACCCCAACACATAAATGTATAGCTCAATCATTAAAAAGGGCGGGTTTCCAGGCATCGAGCTGTGCGATAAAACTAAAGTCTTCCCCCACACCTGTAGCGGATACTCTTCTCGCCTGCCTTTTCATTTCTTAATTGTAAAACTTAAAAACTAGTCAACCAAATCAACATTTCAACAGCTGGTCTGTTGCAAGATTGCCTCATCAGCTGCATTATGCAGACATAGGCTGCTAATGTGTGATGAACAATTAGATGTGTGTTAGTAGTTTATGAAGTTAGATGTTTATTAGTGGTTTATGGAAGTTAGATGTGTGTTAGTGGCTTTTGTTTATGGCTTGCAAATAGGAAGATCATGCCTTGTGATAGTAGTCATTCTAGTTTTAGGTTAAAATCCTTTTGTATTTAAGGAAGTTGCATCAAATGAAGAAGAGGTACAACATTTTCAATTTCATATTCTCATTGATCATTCTCACAAGCTTTTTTTGTCTCTGTAAAAACCAACAAAATTAGTTTCAGAGCCAAGCTTCTTGAGGGATCTGTGAGTTGAGTGAATAAAAAAAAAAATTATTACAAACAAAAATCCTATGCACAAACACAACAACACACAAAACCCTTAGTCAAATGGAGTCAGATAAGATGTTTTCTGTTGAACCACCAGTTTTTTATGATGATAACTATCAAGCCTAAGTTGTTAGAATGGCGGTATATTTGGATGCTTTAGATCAGTGAGAAGTAATGGAGGATGACTATGAAGTTCCTGCATTACTTACTAATCCAATAGTTGCTTAGCTCATGAATCATAAGGAGAAAAAGACCAGAAAGTCAAAAGCAAAAGCTTGCTTATATTCTGCAGTTTCAAGCACAATATTCACTAGAATCATGAACCTAAAATAAGCCAAAGAGATCTGAGAGTATCTAAAAAAGGAATACCAAGGCAATAAGAGGACAAAGAACATGTAGGTACTGAATTT